CCGTCAGTACCTTCAGTCTCAGCCCGTTGGATAGCCTAAGCACTGTGACTCTCCTGCCGAAGAGCTGCGCCACGCGTCGTTCCTCTACTGGCTCTAGCAGCTCATCCACGTTGTCCGTGCGAGTGAGCGAGTCCGTCCCTACCGGCGCTGGCCACAAAACCAGCACGACGAGCGACGAACGCAGACATCCCACGCCAGTCGTATGCCGTTTGCCTCGTATTGACCGCATCGACCCCACCGACCAGCGACTGGGCAGCCCACTAGCAGCAGTCCTTTCAGAATCCGCAGTGAATCTCGACCGGCGACTCTCGTGGCTGCGGCGGGCACAAACTGCACGGTATGACTCCCCAGTCGTCAGCGAACAAAGCAGTGGAGGAGACTCAGAAAGTACAAGTCGGCGGCAAAGGTGGTCGATTTCTGAGAGTTTTGGTGCCGGCGAGAACGAGGAGGAAGTGTCTTTGCCCGTAACGCCTTCGGCAGGATCTGCACCTTCGGAAATCTCGACGTTATTGGACGGAGTCGAAGCAAGTACGTTTGTATTTCCTGATGAGCAGCAGCCAGAATCTCCACCAGCGCGGGCCGGGATGACGAATCGACGTCATTACAACTCAAGCCCGGAAGCTCACCTGCAGAGCCCGGCCAGCGGTAAAGCAGATAAGGCTGAGAGTGGCGGCAGTGGCCCAGGGATGTCCAGACGCAGAAGCTCCCCTACTCAGATCGCCAGCAACACACGCAGCCAAACCAGCCTGGCCCATCCAATGGCGAGAACACTGAGCAGAGCCAGCAGTGATCTATCGTCGGAGCGCATTGCCACAGCATCATCATCGAAATGTCATGGTAGTGTGGCCTTGCCCTGTGTGGACACACGACCACTGAGTAGCCGAGGGAGTGCAAAACGAGTCACCGAGATAGCACACGCGCGTGAGATGAAGACCTTCACGCCGCCAATCAACCCAAAGATGGCAAGGCAGTCGAGGAGTGGCTCTTTCTCGGGTGGCACAACACTACACACCCAGTATTCATTGCCATCGTCAACAACAACCAGCAGACCAAGAGCGGACAAACCCACAAGCCCGCTACATAGCCTGCCATCGCCTCCAGCTGCTGCCAGCTCCGGAATGAGAAAGTCCTCAACCAGCGGGCTGCCAGCGCCAGTACCTCGCACGCGATTTGATAGAAAATCAATGTGATCAGCCATCCTCCGTCTCACCGAGCCAAAGAACATTACAACGTTGCATCGGATCTCGGAGCAGGGAGCAATTATTCGCGTATTCAACCTTCTATACCACTAGAATACGCACCAAGTTTTGCAATATACTAGTAATTCCAGATACAAGAGAGTTGAACTGTAGAATTTTACCACAATCTTTTTCCAAATAGTTCTCCTTGAATTCCGATATTTATATCGCAACCCATCTGTCTTTATGACACCCGATCACAGCACTGAGTACAGAAGAAATGTTACCAACTTACGCTTCACATCGTTGCCTTTGACCTTATTTTGCTGTTTACGTTTGAATACCAGAAGAAAGATGATTTCCCAATCAAGTACACAATTGCCAAAAAGCCTCATCAACTCCATGACTAAAACAACTGATGTGTTGAGTGTCTGAGCATAGGGGACGGTGATGATGTGTGTGGGTGATGGAGATAATTCTGTCTCGCCGAAAGCAGTTCCAACACACCACCATTTCTGAGCCGAGACGTTGAGAACGTATTGAGACAATCAGCGGAGTAACGGGGACACAGCACGGTTGCGTCAATGAGTAAGCGTGCATTTCCGCCTACAATACCAATGTATGTGTACATGCACATGCTGCACTTCTCTGGATGTACATCACACATACACACACATACACACACATACACACCTGTCCCCGGGGAAAATTGCGGGAAAAAATCGCAAAAAACGCGGGGAAAACGCGGCATAATATGGCATAATTTGCGGTGAATTTGCGGTAAATATGCGGTGAATGCGGCAATTTTCAGTGAGTATGTAGTGAAATCAATCAGTTACAAGTCTCTGGTGTAATCACTCGTCATATTTGAGTAAAAAGCCGCCACGATGAGACGTTGCTGACCGAACAGTGCACTGTGTGTACGTGTTAGTGCAACAAAAAAGTTAAAAAACGCGGGGAAATCGCGGAAAACGCGGTCTTTTAAAAAATTGCAAAAAACGCGGAAAAAACGCGGCCGCGGAATCGCAATTTTCCCCGGGGACAGACACACACACACACACACACACACACACACACACACACACACACACACACACACCTCAGACCTCAGACCTGCCCATCGCGGAAGCGATGATAGCGAACAGCTATGTTAGACATAGCAACACACACACACACACATTTGCACACACAGACACACACACACACGCGAGCGCGCGCGCGCGTGCAAATACACGGATATCACTGCGTGACCGAAAGCTACATCTCCCGAAGAGCCAGAGTACACCCTCAATCCACCATGCACAGGCCTTGCTATTATCCGCTGTGCAGGCTAGTGCTCTGACTGCCGGCTTACAGGGCAGTGCATACCAGCGCAGGCTTTTCAAGCACCGAATGGCTAATTCCTGGCTTCCCGCTGTGCTCTCCTTGATCACATGACCATGCCTTACCGCCAGAGTCTGGACAGGTAATGTCAGCGGAGGCGCCTGAGAGCTGTCATTGTGACGGCTTGGTGACGTGCACCACATACTCATCATCGCAACTCCAGTACATTCTTTTTTCAAATCCTACTTAGAATTTAGGCACGAGGCCTGTCACATACACAACAATTACAACAGGGCTATGTTCTCCTGTGTATAGCAGTGCATTGGCCAGGTTGGCCGGTCATGCAGCATGACAGATGGCAGAGGCTGCACTGTTAAATACTGCCATCAGCGGGGCAATGCAATCACTGGGAAACAGCTAGGACAGCCTGTCCACGTGGGTATCGGTCAGATCTACAGTGCTGCTCGGTGAAATCCGATCGCGTGAGTCAAGTTTACGCAGCCCTGAACCAGTTCACCATCCCAGTGTGCGCAGGTCTAGGGCTGCACAGCGCCACGGGCATGGCATTGACTCGCTTGATCGGATTTCATTGATCACTGCACTGTACATGTACACTGACAAGATACACTGAGGCACACATCAAGGCTGTCATACTCAGTGTCATGTGATATTGTCATACTGTGCACGGCTGTAGTCACAGTACTGTACGGGCTAAGTGCAGCGTCGTGTTGTTATTGCAAAAGGATGACGCACAGCCCAGCCACATGTGCGCCATCTCTGCAGACAGTTGCCTTCATGGGTGGCCTTGCAGCACTACCAGCACAGGAAACTTTCTTGACTTGGAACGGAACAGCACCACACAGGACCACCCAGCAAGCCTTCCATTTGCACTGAAAGTCTTGCCTTGCTGCCAGAAACTGGAGCCAAGCCCCTGCCAGGCCCTTATAAACCTAGTTCATCTGGGGATATAGAACTGTGTGCTTGCACTGCAGTGTTGGCATCAAACAGAACTGCATGACGAAATGGAAATCCCTGGCTTCTTGCGGTGGCCAGGTGGAATACATGTCATAATGCAGAGCAGTCTTTTAGGGAAATTAGGGGAACCTTGGAAACGACCACCTACATCAGTGTACATATACATGTAGCTACCGTGCACGAACGTTGGCTCCACTACAAGAAAACAACCTCAACAACAACAAACCGCAGAAGGCGGGAAAAAACCTTTGTACGTCTACCATCAAGAGTCATGATATTGGGCTGCTCAGCCATTCACCCAAGAAAAGCTAATTGCGTTCGGACAAACACTCTTTCAGAGGGATTCCCCTTCAAATGCTCTTTTGGCAGCCATGATCAAACAAACCCAACAGCTACAGTCCAAAGGTTTCATTAAGTGGAAAGTCGAGGCATGTTGGACTTTGAAGAAGCCACTTGAGCACACCTGCATTGGCTCCTATGCGTGCAGCAGAGCACAGGGAGAGCCGACCTCACTATATCCTCCCTACTCCTGTAGTCTAGAATAGAGAAAGGGAAGTCAGGTCTATTTTTCCAGTAAGTTTCATCATCTACTTAGATCTCTTTCTCTTTTTGATCTTTTTCTCGATGCATATGGTATGCTGTGATGTTGAGACACGTGTTTGGGCTGAACACTGTAGACCCTTCATTGTCCTCTGCATCATCTTCCTTATGGTTTGTTGGGCTGTGGAATTAGTACCAGTGAAAAAGTACTGAGATGGGCAACTACTGCAGTGCGTTTTGACCGATCCCGAGCAGCCCAATCAGTGTCTTGCATGTAATAATGTGATCATTTCCCCAATGAATGCACACGTACTGGCGTACACTGTACGGCCATGGCAGGAACCGCAGCTTTAGTCTAGACTAGATACATAAGAAGCAGGATTGCTGCGTCAACTTAACACGATCCACAGATCACCACAGACACTCTTACTACGGCTTGCCTTCCCATGACCTCATGACCAAGCAAGCTTCACTACACCCATGTGGTCGCATGTGGACAAGAGCTGACCAACATAGCATCACTTTACCATTATGTAGCATCACGTGACTGCTCAACGAGGGTTTGTAACAGCAGTGAGCACCAGTAAGGCACTCATCATGGCAGCTTAGTGTGTGGTGTTGTTTGTTCCACAGTTGTCATGCCCTGTACCTCAGTACCATGTGCAGACTATGCAGTTTGACACCTGGCTGACACACCACTGGAGCCTGTGGTCCACCGGAACAGTGCGTCACCAGCACGCACAGAGGCCAATGGGCCTAATAGCTCCCACTGTGAGTGTCCCAGTGGAGTACCAGAGATAGAGATACTCGAACTTGCAAAACAACTAAGTACATTAGCCAATATAGGCATTGTAGCAGTCTCACTGGTCGCATTATTTTGCAAGTGCCGTTCCCACCAAGAGTTGCTATAGAGGGTGCACAGGTGAGCAAGCACATTTCCAGGGTATTTAATCATACCGCAAGTCATGCACTATCAGGGCTTACTCAAACAGGATAACCAGGCTCTGATCGTTGACGGGCTCTGTGACTTCAATCGTCCGCTGGCATGTAGTCAGCCCTGGTTCAGTGCCTTGTCCTGCTCGAACACCATGCATGCAGCAGCAAGATTACGGTCGGGGCAAGCATATACACCCGCATATGCATAACGTACACACACACACACACACACACACACACAAACACACACACTCACACACATACACAGACACACACACACACAGACACACATACACAAGCAAGAGCAAGCGTACAAAACACACAAGCACCCACTCGCACTCACATGCATGCGGACATGCATACTGATACATACATATGCACACACACACACACACACACACACACACACACACACACACACGCATACACACACGGCACATGCACAAACGGTAAGCACGGAACATATTATTACATAATTGCCGAACATGCAACATACACATGTGATTCACAAAGCCATAATTATATCACTTTGGGAAGATCCAGTGTACAGTGGTCCCTCTATAATCCGGCACCATTTGTGCCACGAAAATCTGCTGGATTAGGGAGGGTGCTGGATTAACAAATCTGATTTACTGCTGCAATGTGCATGAAGAGGACATTTTGGCTACTGAAAATTGTGCTGGTTTATCGAGGGTGCTGGATTATAAAGTGCCGGATTAGAGAGGGACGACTGTATTATTATGCCTTCAGGATGCTCGTTTCGTTGGCTTACCATCACCCGTCAAGCATCAGGGATAACACATGATGAAAAGTCAAATTGCCAACCCACTTCCAACTGAAGCGCCTGTACTACTGCATGTCAGCAGCCACTTCTCACAGCATCTACCGTAGTGACGCACGTAAAGGCACATGCGCTTATGAGTGAGTTTTTGCGTTATTTGCTATTTTCGGGGGGTCGTTTTGTCTCACACATAGGCGCATGCGGTTGAGTTGCTAGTGTACCGGTACCTTGCATAATTATGCACATAGTGCGATACCGCAATGCACATTGAACTATGTGAATATGGTGTTTTTGTGGTGTCTGTGTGTCGCGGGATGGACTGCATTTAGGTTCACTTATAAGCCCATGCGCTTATTTGTGAGGGTGTGCTTATGCCCAAGTATAGGCACACGTGCTTTTAAGTTTATGCACGTCACTACGGTAGTCGATCTGCCAGAACTTCGCCAGAGAATCCTGCTAAGATGTATACTGCAGTACTATTCCTGAAGCAGTATCATCATCCATAGGATAATGCCACCAACATAAGAGTAGCAGTAGCCCAGCTAGTTGTATTCAATACACAACCAGACGGTGGCTGCTACTAGTATCAACATACATGCTACCGTCGTGGACATGGAAATCCAGTCAAATGGCCGGGGCCGGCGCCCTCAGTGCGTACAGAACGTAAGTAGTCGTTGCATGCAGTGCACATTTTTATCCGATGCGGCTGGCACGCGGCAGCGCATGTGTGTACCGCTTACCCACGGCTGCATGGCCAGCGCCCTGGGCCGCCAGACGTGCGATCGGATTTCCATGTCCACGACAGTAGAACGCATGCCACTGACTGATGCACCAGTTGTAACCCGCACACTCCACACACAATTGTTGGTATACAGCCGGTGGATGATTAAAGCCGGGCGAATGTTGCACTATAGCATGGGCTCGAAGTGCACGTTTGGTAATATTATCTTGAAGGCACAGTGACTCTGGATTGTCGACAGAAAGTGACGAATAAGCACGTAGTCACAATTGACTGCGGGTCTGTGGTACTGCAAGGGTGTACTGCACGCACAGTGGCAGTGCACTAAGCAAGCATACTGGGCAGGTGTAGAACTGAAGAAGAAACGCCAGTCATACTGAGGGGGGGGGGGGGCATGGTTCCCAGTGAGGCACCGGTCGTGACACTCGGACTGCCTGTTAAAGCACACAGTGTCAATGTTAGACCACGCAATGTGGAGCACCTATTGCGCGCATAACCCATGGCCGAGTCAGATGTCCGGGCAAACTGCTCTATTCGCATACTGCATCTCCATGCAAGTGTGTTGGATACAGAAAGGACTCTAAGACATTCCATTCATGCCATGCAACTCCAGATAAAATCTATTACCAAGCCGAACAGCAGAGCAGCTTCAAAGTTCTGTCAGAAGCAAGTGTGTTCTGGGAAGGCATCTCATCATATTGATTCTCCGGACACTCTCCTGATGACTACCATTAAACCTCAGAGGAACCCAGGTACATAGCACAGGCAGCAAGACCAGTTCAGGAGATGAGACGGCTGTTTCTGCAGTGCAACTCGAATTCCTTGCACTCGGGATGATCATCAGACAGCGGCACTGATCACTATATTGTTCCAAGCCGGCCAGCCTATAACGGTAGCCAATGTGTGACTACTAAGCACGCAGGTGCCAGTGAACGTAAAAGTGGGTCAGTGCCACTAGCTCGGACCAAGGTAGAAAGGCACGCACCAGTGCAAGCAGGTAGAATGCCTGCTACCATCGGAGCAGCACTAGAGGTGTGCTACACTAATTGGTCGATGCGACAGGAGGGGGCACTAAGAACTGTGGCTTCAAAACGTAGCTAATGTGATGGAAATACTCCATGATGAAGCCCCAAGGATGCCGGAAACTTTGGAGTTTGGATTTCAAGTCCAGGTATGGCAACCATAATTATGACGCCGCTGCGCCCCGAACACTATGAAACAAATACCGAGCTGGTGAAGTATGTATGGAGCCTAAAACACCAGAACAAAGACCTACGAGATTGGCTGGTCCATCAAGGAACGTGCCCAAGCTTACACTAATGTCACCAAGCGCTGCAATTTATGTATCACGGCAAAACACCACATCAGCATATCCGATCGCAGCACCTCTCTCAACAAGCGAACGGAGCTCGTGTCAAAGTGTAGGCACTCTGCCAAGTCCCTGCTTGGCAAGTACGCAATCACGTGATTTGCCACCACATGGCGGTCGACAGCCACTTGCACCCGTTTGCAGCCCTTTTCAATACGCGTGTAGTAAATTGCAAGTAACCTCGCTTGCCGTCGCGTCACTTCATTGTCCTCACCTATTCATATGAGCATACTACATACACGATGTATAGAGCAAGTGCATCGTCGCCTTTTGCTGTACTGTGCTATAGGTGTGAGCATGTCAGGGACGAAGGCAGAATGGTTCATGGCACACCCGGGTACCAGCTATTTCCGCGTATCTTCCACGGTCTGACAAAGCAGCTTGAGTGTTTTGCAATTGCAAGCTGCATGATACTGGGCACGCAGACAGCCAGGAATGACTTGGACTGAACCCCTCTGCGCCCCTGCACGTGTAGGGACTGCGTAGCTGAATGAGTTGTCACATCACCATGATCACTCGCTCCTCTCAACAGTCTACATCATACATGGACTTAATGATTATTGTAATATTGATGTGACTATGACCGTAGGCTCTTCAGCAAAAACATATTTGCTATTTTACTGTATCGTTTACAAGACTTGTAACTCACCCCACACAGTCGTCACCGCAAAGTTAGCACCAGCTACTGCCACCAGCGTCAGGAGCATACGCACAGTTACATAGCAGCGTGTGTGGCACAGCAACATAGCGGTTCTTGTAGACCCAGACGGGCCAGAGTGGTATCCAAAGCCGATCCGTGGCGTGTGTGCAGAGAGTGAATAGCCGTTAGCCTCGCCTGCAGCACAGTTAGTCTGTGTGATGTTGGCAGCATTGAATAATGCTGCTCGTTACACTTTCCGGATATTCTGCGAAGTTACTTAGTTAGTTAGCAAAGCCACGATGCTGCATCTATCATTCTATGTCCTCCCTTCCTTGACAGGCCCCTAGAGGTACAAATGCAGGGGCACTTCATACGCCTCCAATGCTAAATTTTACAGTCTGGCTTTCAGACTTCAGAAGTAGTTCAGTGCAAAACACAGAGCACCATGATCATAGTATTCTAATAGTAAGTTAGTTCATCTTTCCACTCGTAGTCGTACTCAGTGGTAGAGGCAAGATCCGAGCCTGATTCATTTTCTGCTACAACAAGAAATGAAGCTGCTTTATTTTTTCAAATGCACCAGCATGCAGCTAGCTACGCGGGCATGCATGGTGACAGTCAGTGTAGACTGTAGTGTAGGGCCTAGGCTAGGGCCGGCTAGCGTCCTCGATAAACGATGCGTGTAGTTCCCCTGGCAACAACTAACACACTTCCTGACCTTCTCGCGGGAAATCCAAAAACATGTTCCTACATGCATGTAATGCAGCATGATGCTGCATTCGGTGCAGGATACTCACGAGCCAGACATCAAGCAAATCAGGATTTTGTTTCTGTGATCGTGAACGAAGGAGACAGTCGATGCTTGTGAAGACTGCCTGTAGTTCCTTGTTCTATAACGTGCAGGACGATCTTCTCTCCCAATATCAGTGGCGATGAAGGACGCCGTGGCCGGAGGTCAGTTGACGATACATTATCCATTGGTGTTCCCAGAAATATTTCATGCAGTAATATCGTGACAATTTATCCTGTCCGTTGCTCGGCTACTCTTAGCTAGGGGAATGCAGGTACAGTACATACAATGTACGTGCGCTTATTGATCGCACAGCATGACGTCGGCAGGTGAACGCCAGATTTTCAACCAATTTGCTTGAATCGGACAAAACATTTTTTAAGATTGATAGATTTGAACATGCATGTAGTGTGTTGCTGTGGCCTTTCTCTTCTCACTTTTCAGTTGCCAGCACTAAAATGTAGTTTGTGTGTGGATGCATGTTTACGTGTGTGTTTGTCCCCCGCGTACGCCCGTGATGTATGCTTGTGTGTCCTTGTTCGTGTGCGAATACCGTCGTGTGCTGTGTGCTGTGCAGCCAGCAAAGTGCTGGCGTACCTGGCGCAGCAGAATCGGCCGTACAGCGCAGGTGAGTGGGATGCTCTCTAGTGTAGTTCTGTTACTGCCAGTACACTGGGATGCCTTTGCGCCGGTTTTAGTCCGAGATTTGCGAGCACAGACCAATTTGTACCCGCAAATGTTGCAATTGGATTCAATTTCGAATGTAGCACATTCACCGTGTTCTTCATCTGGTGTGCAGGATACTGAGGACAGACAATGTAGAACAACTTCTTGTGGCGCCAGAATAGGCCTTATGCACATTGTACAGATGCACGAAATCTCGTAGAATCCCGTAGACCCGGTTGGGTGTTGAATGTGCAGAGCCCTATTGTGGTTTCTTCAATTTCCACTAAGAAATGGGCTCTGAAGGCATTTCATACGAAAACTTTTTTTTTGACTAAGATCTAGCTAGTTTTTAGTTCTAACCAAAGTGAAAAGCTGGAAAAGCGATTGTTTGCCATTAATTATGAGGCTAAAATTGGTCAAATGTGCATGCATAGCACACAATGAACACCCAACCGGGTCTGTACACACCTACGGTCCTAGTACAGAACTTTGTACATCTGTACAATGTGCATAAGGCCTATGGATGTGGGGTCGACGAGTTAATCACAGGCCTGTTAGAACTTGACTTGATACCGTATGCACCACGGACACCCATCATGGATTTGATGACTGATACGCTCCTAGCAGTACCATCACAGATTACTGCACATGTCTTGAAGCCGATGTCATGAAGGAGGCGTAGGGTATCCAGTACCCATGCCAGAATGAACTTGGCGTTCAGGCAGGAGTGCGTGGTGAAATAGGGCCCATGCACATCAAAACTGGAGGACATGTGTCACATAAACTGCAGGACATACTCTGCCCGCTTCGTTTTCTTTCCTTTGAGCTCTGCAAATACATCGCACAAACTGACCATGCCCTCGTCAGCCATGGCTAGGCCGTACACTTCATGGCTTCTTGAGTTCCCCAGTATCTTGCTGATTCCTTTTACTTCATCAAATATCATCACTCCTTCGCCAATCGGAGGAAAGCTTTTATGATGTGCTGCCTTCTTCACACCATCATGCACTTTTTTCTGGAATTTGATGCTGGATTCACATCGGCCAGGCTTATCCAAGTATGCACTGGTATAGTGTTGCAGGGACCGTATACTCGGCAGCTTAAAAATGCCGAATGACTGCAGCGCCTCGTATGCAGCTCTGCTCCTTGAGAATACAGCCAAAGCAACTCGATAGGTGAGCAAACTCCACCTATTCCCATGGGAACCCTGCTCGTTGCTGGACTGGTCTCGCTGTCATTCAGCCTTGTCAGCAGCCCATCCAGCTTGCAACACATCCCGTGCCTCCTCAACACCAGAATCGGTCACGGACTGACGGTCATGGGGAAATCGCGCTCAATGGCTGAGCATACAGGAGACCGCTCAGGCGACTGCTTCTCCGACTGCATGACTGAGAGATGCTCATACTTAGACAGGTCTCTATTGAATTGCCGCCGCACTAGCCGACTTGAACTGATCCTTTCAGTTCTGCTGGAGGGTGACAGATACTGCAGGGGAGTATTCGACGACACAGCCGCTCTAGTTTTCTTCTTCTCCTCAGTGCGGTGGCCAGCTGCTCTATCTCTGAGGACACACAACTCCTTCTCAAACCACTTGCCGTTAGTGCACTGTGCACGTTCCAATGCTGGCATTCGCACGGTGCACTCTTGCCAGTCAGGAACGCTATTCCACACTTGCAAGTAGGAAGCGACGAGCGGGTTCTGGGCCAGGGGGCGCCCGGGTCCCAAAAAATGGGGTATTATTGAAAAATGGGGTACTAATAGTACCCCATTTTTGCGGTGAAAATTATTTTTGGCCCGGTTTTTTTGCGGATAAAAATATGTGCCAGGGGGTGCCCTGACCCCAAAAAATGGGGTATTATTGAAAATATGTGTTGTGCACATGTGGGTTTGAATCTCACTTTTTTGGGCCACCTTGCCCCGGATGGGAGTGGGTATAAAAAGTAGAATGTTGAATATGGTGTTTATCATGAAGTTTTTTCCGTGACCTACCCCACCTCCCCATGCAATTTTTCAAAAATGGTCCTGCTCGCACACACGTCAGAAAGGTCAGTTCTTGATAGATACGATACATGTCATTACAAAGAATAATGGAACGAACAGTGAATATCGCAATGGAGTGGAGGAGAAAGGTAGTACAATTCAGTTCTTGTTGTCCTGATTTCATCAAGCTGGTATTGGATGAGAGACCACAAAGTTTACTCTTCGAATACGTGTGAGGATGGATTCACCCATGATCTCTTCCGTGACACGCAGTACGAGGTGGAGTTGTCGGACGCTCTGATGTGCACCAATGGTTCCACCCAGTCAGCAATGGAACTGTCAGTCGACGACCTCCTTTGCACCGCCATCGTGTCAACAGTCGACTCGGGTAATTTGGAGATGAATCCATCGTCGCCGATGTCGATCGTACCAACCCGCACACGAATCCGCGTTACTCTTGTTGCAACGGCACGGAGTTGAACGGCCTTGGTACTACGTCGTACACGCACACGATCAACTCGAGAGACTTCATTTTTCGTTCACCTCCTTGACAAGTTGCATTACGTCGCTGGAATCCAAATAGGTTGCATCAGCGAAGAGGTCGATGATGTGTTGAGAGCACGGTTCGTCACGCATGTCACTAAGCTTGTAGAATGAGTGTCTACCATCAGTCCACCTTCGCAGTATGACACCATCATCAGTCTCACTAATAGTTCCGTAGTCCTCCACACCACCGATGACGATTTTAGGAAGGTGCTGTTTCCTATTCTTCACATTCAAGATCAGACTGGTGACCCTGCAGATAATATACTCAGCAGCAGTGAGTGGTGACATATCGAATCTTCTGGGATGTGCTATCATCGGGTCAAGATCCCTGGTTGTCTTGCTAGCACTGAGGCGACGGATTGAGAACTCTTCATTATCGCATGAAAATAAATACCATTTCTCTGCTCTGCACGTCTCAGAAAATGTCCACGCCATTTTAGCTTCTTCACACTGCAAGAAGGAGTCGATAATGAAACTGCAGGTTGAGACTACTTCACCTCGAGGTCAAAGTTCACGCCGCGATGACCTTTGTAAACAAGGCTACGTCTAGACGTCTCAAACAAGACCAAGGGGTCACGCCACGGGGAGGTGACGACCTTGGAGAACACGATGTGTTTCGAAAGCGGAAAGACGCCCCCGTCATGGTGAGTCTTTTTTGTTCGGGTTTGGAATCTTTCGACTATGATATCAGATTGAGATGTGAATGCCTTTCTTCTATTGAAATGTCGATGAGACGGAGGATTTTTCTAGCTTTCTGCTCATATAATTCTTACTCTCATAGTACTTGATTTTCATATATTTTCAGGGGTGGAAATACGTAAGGCACACGGACCATGGATGCGCACATCATGGAGTGTGCATTGACGTCACAGTGGATTGTAGGATGCATCATGTACCACACAAACACACACACACACATGCACATAATATACATACACTGTGCAATGACATCACAGCGAACTGCACGATCGGTGGATGCTATACATATACGGAATTCCGTGGTCTCTTCTCATACAGAGATGGTAGAGAGGAATTCAAAAGGAATCTTGGAAAGAGGACTCAACTGTCAATATTCCCCGCTCGGAGCACGAATATTCCCCGGGTCTTGCGACAGAGTAAATAAGGGAGATGTTAGTGCTGATCACGCTCTATTTGGGATAGTACATGGGATAAATGGATTATACCATTCGTACTCTGTGCATACCGTACCCATTATATTTTCAATCGTGCTGACGCACTCATGAAAATATCTAGCGGTGTACCCCTCGTACCAAGAGTACATGTACTCTTGCTCGTACTCGTGGGATAATCGATACATGTCTTAGTGCTGATCGCGCTCTATTTGGAATAGTACATGGGATAACTGGATTATACCATTCGTACTCTGTACATACCGTATCCCTTATATTTTTCGTCGTGCTAACGCACTCGTGAAAGTGTCCAGCAGTATACCCCTCATACTCATGCGATAATTCTCATGAACGCCATCAGCTTGTACATAGCACTCAATCATTTATTTTTTATTTTTCAATATGAATGACATTGTGAATCATGACCGAAGACTGTTCACATCCTTCTTTGTGAGCCAGGTATTGAATTTATTATCTGTGTAGCCTTTCCATTGCACAAGACGTTGATCCTTGTTGTATTTTAACACCTTGTCGAATCTCAAACCGGTCTCTCTGGCGTGTTGCAGTTCTGCTTCGTAAAACGATCCGATGATGTGTTCTCCCATCAGATCACGAATCCTGTAGGTGTGTGGTGATGTTGATAGGATTTCATCCACCTCGAATACTTCCTCCGTCCAGTTCGCAGTGTAGCCCTTCTCGAAATGACGCTTAGATACGGTTAGGCGCACCTCGTCACCCACTTTGAACTTGGGTTTTGACTGCAGGGGGTCTTGTTGATCTGCATCTTTTGGTATTCTACCGTTCGATGCTTCGTGAGGTGTCATCCCAATGCTTCTATGCTTTGACTGGTTGTAGCGGTCTAGTAGATGAGGTAGGACATTGAGGTACGTGTTCGTGGATTTCTCTGTAAAGTGACGCCACATTCTTGCCTTCAACGTTCTATTGAAGCGCTCGACCACCACCGCTTTACCCTCGTTATGGGTGCTGTACATGATGACGTTGTGTTGTGATAACCATCGTTTCATGGGGGCATTGTAGAATTCCTTGCCTTCGTCTACCCAGAGTTTTAGCGGTGTCCTTCCGGATGTACTGACAATCTTATCGAACGCATCTCTCACGGCGGTACCCGTCTTCGATTTCAAAGGCATTGCCCAGGCATAGCGGCTGTATAAGTCGATGACTGTTAGCAGGAATTTGATGTTCTTATTGCTTCGGGCAAACCGTTGCATATCCACGAGATCTGCACTCCATATATGGTCAATTGCTCTGCTCTTCACCTTGCGTCTTTTGAAATGCACTCGTCTGG